ATAAAAACTGATCAGCAGGCACTGAGGTATTTATTGGATCAAAAATCAATGAATCCAATGCAACAGAAGTGGCTTACCAAACTCTTGGGTTTGGATTATGAGATCCAATATAAAAAGGGATGTGAAAATAAAGTAGCTGATGCTCTCTCAAGAATGACAGGGAAAAATGTGGAGTGCCAAAACCTAACTACAGTCACACCTTTGTGGGTTCAGAGAGTTCTAAGCTCTTATGAACATGATCCTTTCTGCATGAAGATCATACAAGCTAACACTATACTAGCTTCTAGCTATCCTGATTTCTCTATACATGATGGCTTACAGAGGTTTAAGGGCAGAATTGTGGTGGGGTCTGTAAGTTCTCTCAGGAAAGAAATTTTGGAAGCTATGCATGGGTCTTCCTATGGGGGACACTCTGGTATTCAAGGGACTTATATGAGGGTGAAGAGGAGTTTTTTCTGGCCTTTAATGAAGAAGGATATTACAGTCTGGGTGAATCAATGTGAAGTTTGCAAAAAGAACAAGCATGAAACAGGATCCTATCCTGGGTTATTACAACCTCTACTTGTTCCCCAACAAGCTTGGACACATATAACTATGGATTTTATAGAGGGGCTACCAAAGTCTGGGGGCAAGGATGTCATCCTAGTGGTGGTTGACAGGTTTACTAAGTATGCTCATTTTATACCTATGTCACATCCTTTCACAGCTCAATGAGTGGCTACTGTGTTCATGAACTCCATCTACAAGCTACATGGGCTACCTATTAGTATGGTCACTGATAGGGATAAAATTTTTACAAGTTCATTCTGGAAGGAGTTCTTTAAGCTATTGGGAGTCAAATTGGAAATGACATCAGCATATCACCCCCAATCAGATGGCCAAACTGAGAGGGTAAATCAATGCTTGGAAACCTATCTAAGGTGCATGGTACATGAAAACCCAAAACATTGGGGAAAATGGTTAGGGTTGGCTGAGTATTGGTATAACACCAACTACCACTCTAGCCTCAAAATGACCCCATTTCAGGCACTTTATGGGTATGAGCCCCCTACCTTTTCTATGGAACCTTTCTTGGACACTTACAACACTGAAGTTCAAGACACTATCATGCAAAGGCAGCTAATTTCGCAACAGATAAAGGACAATCTCAATCAAGCTCAGAATAGAATGAAAACTTTTGCAGACAGACACAGGCAAGAGAGGAGTTTCGAAGTTGGTGATCAAGTTTATTTAAAGCTGCAGCCTTTTCGGCAAAATTCAGTTCAACTTCGAAAAAATCTTAAATTATCTGCACGATACTATGGGCCATACACCGTTTTAGCAAAGGTGGGTGAAGTAGCCTACACACTTGACCTACCGCCAGACTCTAAAATTCACCCAACTTTTCATGTTTCATTGTTAAAGAAGAAGTTAAGTCCAGCCATCTTACCTTCCAGCGATTTACCTGTTACTGATGTCGATGGGAATTTCAAGATCCAACCTTTGGAGTTTTTGGATTTTCGTACAATTCGCAGGAGTGGAACTGAGATCTCCCAAATCTTGGTTCGTTGGTCAGATGCGCCCACCGTCAAGCCTACATGAGAGGATGAAAAGTACCTCCACCGCAAATTTCTGGACTACGGCCCTTGGGGACAAGGTCCGAACTCGGCCGGGGGTATTGTCATGACCCCAGAGGATGTCGCTATTTCAAACAAGGCGGAAGGACTCAGACTTGAGGTCAAAGAGAAGAAAGGAGAGATCTTTGACAGGGAAGTCAATGTTTTGGAAAAGAAAGATAAAAGCTTTGAGGAAGAGGATGAAACTAAAGTACAGAAAGTTGGGGAAGATGAAGTGGTGAAGATAGGGTTTTGAGATTTCAGGAGAATCAGACTTCAAATTATTGCAGTTTGGATTATTATATTGCTTTGTTTTTGGGCCATGTTTGTAAGACCCAAAACAGCTATTGTATGTTTATTTTATGTGTTGGGCCAGTTAATAGTCTAAGCCCGTAAAGAGTTTTTAAGGACAATTCTGGAAAAAATGGATGTAATAGTTAAGTAGGGCTTTTCGTGGGAAATTAAAGCAATCTGTTACAATCAAATTATCCCTCGCTCTCTCTTCAACATCTTTCTCTCTCTACCTCTACTTCCATTTTCTTCATCTAAACTCTCTATACAATTAACTATTATACTCAAACAAATTACTAAGTGCTTGTAACCAGTACATGCAACTAATCGGTCAAGACAAACCGTACGGTTGACACTACAACCGTTCCGATGGGTTGTTCAATTCCATCTAGGTTGTGAACTAATGATTCTTGTTTTACAAGTAACTGATATAGTGATCTTCGGTACGCCCGATGACGACCCACTTATCTACATGCAAAACAACAGAACGTGGAACTTATTTAACCAAACATAATTCTCATCCATCAAGAAATAACAAGTGTAATATCCACTAAACCAAAGATTAAGTATATAACACCAACAGGATCATCACGTCGAGTATGGCGTCAGCAGATGTGCTCACGGTGCGGGGTCACCGGGCATAACAGGGCGAAGTACCCTCTATACGATGGTGATAATGACTTTTTTCAAATGAAGAAGGTCAAAACGCACCAACTCCTCATCCAAGACGCCCGAGGAGATGTCGTACATGTAAAGAAACAGGTCACAAATCGTCATCTTGTCATCACGTCCAATCCATGACAATTAAGATGAAGATGGAGTTTTTAATTGTAAACCAATTTAACGAAAACAATACTTTTAACGGGAAAAATACTGTGTTGGTGCCCTAAGTTGTGACCTGCACACGATTGACTAACAAAAATTAGTGAAACTGGGTTGTTTGCGCGATTCACATAACATGTCCCATAATAATCGCACAATTGGGTTGATTGTGCGATTCCCATATCATATCCCATAATAATCGCACAACTGGGATGATTCGCCTAGTCTTCAACCGCATAATTAACGAATCGTATATCTAAATCGAAAGCCGCATAATTTACGACTATCCGCCATTTTTTTCGCATATCCATATGGACCGCATTGATTGATTGTCTGCACCGCATATCAAAATCGAAAGTGCTTCGCATATTATTCGTATACGTTACGCACCGTATTGATTGATTGTCTGCACCGCATATCCAAATCGAAAATGCTTCGCATATTGTTCGCATAAGTTACGCACCGCATTGATTGATTGTCTGCTTTTACACCTAAAAAACAATGACGATTTGCATGTTTCCTCATTTAATTGTCAAGTTGATGTATATCTCTACCTAGCCTTTAAGTGCTATCTGTATTTATTAACTTTTCATTCTCTTTGTTGAAGAAGCGATCTTTCACTTCTCAAAACCCCATCTTTCCATCGCAGCAAAAATAAAAAAATAAAAATAAAAATAAAAAAATAGAAAGGATTTCACCCTATAAAAAAGATCGCGATCCGCTTCCGTGGCAAATGTTGGACTGACTGCAGCAATAATAAATATTTTTTTCTTCTGTCAAGTATGTGTTTAATCATGATTCATATGTCAAAACAAAACAATATGTTGCATGGACAATGAAACCATTAATATCCGTCAACAGAGTATTGCCAGCAAAATCAGCGATAATACTCGAAGGGAAATTATTATTCGCAGCACTGTGAACAAAGTGCGATAATTTGCATTGTGTTCGCATAGCGTAATGAAAAAAATAAAAGTAATTTATAGTTTTCAATCGCATATCCAGGCCAGATCAATCAAACGCATCATTTAGGATTATGCGGCATATGTTCGCATTATTTAAGATTCGCATATCCAAATCTATAAGGGTAGATAGTAGATAACTATCGATTATGCGTATTGTTATCGCATATTTACGAATCGCATATCCATATAAAACCTCGCATAAATGTATCAATATGCGAACGCATTTCGAAAAGTGTTACGCACGGCTTTTTTTTCACCTAATAGTTTTTCTCAATTCATTATTAATTTAGTCAAAGACATTTTCCAAAATTTACCAATTATTCGGAAAATATGGGACGTTTATATGTCGCAATTTTTTACGTCGGGGAATATAAAATTTACAAAAACAAATAAAAAAAATATGTTATTCGTTATAGTTCGAGTTATGCGTTTTTTATGCGGAAATGTTTCGAGTAATAATCGCAGGTTCTTTCGCCTAATAGTAGTCTTCTTGAATTTATTATTAAATCACTGGCAGAACTTAAAAAAAAAGAGCGAGTTGTATAATATGCGACGTATATGCGGAAATATTTCGAGTAATTAAATGCACCAATTCTGCGAATAATATGCGACGTATATGTCGTAATTTTGCATCGACTCAACTACTTTACACCAATTCTGCGAATAATATGCGACGTATATGTCGTAATTTTGCATCGACTCAACTACTTTACATCAACTAATTTTTTATAGTTTATGTATATCCCAAATAATGGAATCGACCAATTACCTATTTTCTATTTATAAAAAAAAAAAAAGAAAATTGCATAATTTCATAGAAAAATAAAAAATTTCTCATACAATTAAAATCTAAAAGTATTATATTTTGCATCAAAGGCCTACATATTTCTTTTAAAAATTATGGTCAAACTGGTCAAAATTTAGCCAAAAACTAAATCAACTCTGAGCAGTTCCTGTTTTGGGGCAAATGTAAACTGGAAAACCTTTTGTTCCTTGCCCCAGCAAGAAGCCACAAATTAGAAACTATGAGGTGTAAAACGAATAAGCTTCAATCTTTGTACCTGCACAAAAAAAGAAGATTCACAATTGAAGAAATACTGCATGCCAATAAAGGTATATCTTTTCTCAAAGAAAAGGCAAAGGACCTCCAAAAAATGTTTCTGCAAATGAACACAAAATATGCTTGGTATATAGCACATACATGATCTATATATATGTGTATTTTCACCAGCCATCACAACAAAAACATTACTAAGAACATACACATCAAAAAAGAAAAAAGAAAAGAAAAGAAAAACCGGAGCTAATTACACGGCTTTCTAAAGATATGGACGCAAGAACAGGAGCTGCAGCCGCCAACACGAACATTTTCGAACCCCTTTCCGATTTCGTGCAAGAGGCAGAATGCGACACTCTCCTCGTGTATCTTCCTGGTATTGTGTTCAATTCATAATTTTCAAAGCAATCACTAAAAAATTTGTTTTTTTGGAAAAAAAAAAAGGTTCTTTTGGCCTCAAACTCATGAAATTTTACTCCAATCACACTTTCTTACAATAGTTTCTTTTATTAAAAAAAAAAATAAAAAATTGGATCACAGGCTTCACAAAAGAGCAATTGAGAGTGCAGCTAACAAAATCAGGGCTCCTGAAAATCAGCGGCACTCGGCCTACTGGCGAAAACAAGTGGAGCAGCTTTCAGAAGGATTTTCCGGTCTCGGCAAATTGCGACACCACAAAAATCACTGCCAAATTCGAAGACGGCATACTCTACGTGAGGCAGCCGAAGCTCATTGTCCCAGCCAATAATAACAAAGAGGACAAAAAAGATTCACCCTCAAAAGCCCCACACGAGCCACCACCGGCTCCAAAACCCGATCAAGAACAAGCTCCCAAACAGAAAGAACCAGCCGAGGACAAAGAAGCAAAACCCACAAAAGACGTGCCGGAAAGTAGCAAGAAAACAGACGAAAGAATTAGCAACGACCAAAATCAAGAAAACGTGTCGGGAAAAAATGAAACTAGTTACGTTACAGGTAAAGCTAAATTGGACGATTATAAGGTTGAAGCAGAAAGTCCGGCGTATAGATTGAAGATGGCGAGGCAGAAGGTCACGGTGGCCGTGGCATTGCTCTTAGCTTTCGCGCTCGGCATGTACATTAGCAATTTGCTGTCTGTGTTTTTCAGAAAAACAGAGGACTGAAAAAAAAGGCTGTATATGATCATCATTTTGTGATGGACATATGATACCAAATAATCTGTTCAAATTTAAGTCATGTAATGTAATGCATGTCTGTATGCACTTTTCAACTGATTATTAACTGAAAAAAAAAGGTGAATAAAAGGAGTTTGTTGATTTTAGTTTGTTTGAATCCAATATATGTGCAATTTGTTGTGTCACATATCATTTATTTTAAATCCAATATATGTGCAATTTAAAGAAAAATAGATTATACAACCACTCCAACACAATATTTTAAAGTTGTCTAAAATAAGATGTGGATAAATTTAAAGAAAAATAGATTATACAACCACTCGAACACAATATTTTAAAGTTGTCTGAAATAAGATGCAAGTAATATACACTGTTCATTTATCTCCTTTTGTCTATTTTCTTCCATCACATTTTTCCATGCATTTTTAAATTAAAAATCAATCATCACTATATATTTATCCACAAAATTTAATACGCAATCACCCACATATTTGTAAGTAATAATTATTTTTATAGTTTATTATAACATCACACCTAATTATTATTCTTTATTTATATCATCTCTAACAAAAATATCTTTCGGCTAATTTTTGTTCGCCCATTCAAAAACTCTCCAATAATCAAAATATAATCACTGAGGCCTCAAATTGATTTTCTACCTATAATGCATTTTTAATTTTTATCAAAACGAAAACCTTATGTTGCAATTTTTTATTTTTTAAAGAGACCAAAACTTTGTGTGATTCCATACAAATTATTTTGAGACATCGTGTGATTAGATACGAATTATTTTGAGACATTAAAAAAATTAATAGGATAAGCAGAGACTTTTTACTTTTTCTTTTTAGAATAATAAGAATTTATAAATGGAACACATAACTACACTTACAACTCAATCAATAGCCGAATCTAATGATATGACACTCCGGGCAATCTAAATACCACAATGCACTCACCATAATA